TTTCGAAGGCGTCAATACCATGAGTGGCAGGTGGCTGAATTTTACGGAGACTTGCCACCGTCTCCAACCCGCTTCCTTTCTCATCCGGGCTTGGAACCGGCAATGGCGGAGTTCTTCGAGAAAATAATTATTTGAAAATCAGCGAAAATTCAATAATTCTAGAAATTTGAACAATGTAGCTAAGGATGTTGGTGTCTGAGCTAGCTGGTAACAGCGCCAGTAGTTTTTTCGTCTTGGGACCAGCGTGGCTTTGTGTAAAGTTCCTCCCTTTAGTTTGCGGTTCAACTCTCGCTGTCGGCAAATGTGAGGTTTCTTTCCTGTTTACACTAGTCAAAAGGTTTATCATCCTTATGGTCCGGAATTCACATTCGCCTTATGTGCTGAATTCAGAAAGGTGCGAAGAGCAACTTAAGCAAGAACTTTCAAGCGAATTACCGCAGAACAGAAATTTGTGATTTAATTAGTTTGTTGATGCTGTTCTAACTGTTTGTTTATTTATCGGTGAATACGCGGCCTTTCAGCGAACGTATTTCGTTTCTTCATTTATCCAAGAATTTACTGCTCCATAGAGAGTTCACTTTTTCAAAAGTGAGAATTTCTGTAGAGTTCAATTTTGCAAAAAAAAAATGTCGTTTCATTTTTATGTTAATCTGTTGCAAAAAATTAATTATTTTAATACTTATCTATATTGCAAATTTGCTTATATTGTTTAGCTTTCGTATGTTGGAGACATTCGCATAGGGACACCGCCACAAACATTTTCCGTAATAATGGATACAGGAAGTTCGTTACTGTGGGTTCCTGGAATAGGCTGTGGACTGGAAGGAAGTGCAAAATGTCCCAGTCATTGTTTTGGAACGTCGTGCAAACTCTTTTGCAACGAATGCTGCTGCAATCAGTCAACCTGTCATATTCCATGCGGTAAATATTTTTTATCATTAGGCTGAAAAAAAATTCGTATTCTGAAACTCCTTTCTTCAATTTTAACCTTCGAAATTTTAACCTGTATGAAAGCTTTCATTGCTTTTGAGAACATATTTTTGTGAAACTTTGATAGAAAAAATTTAGGAAGACCCTAAGATTTATTTTGGCTTTCTGTCAATTATGAGAGTTTCTGTCAGGAAGTTGAAAGTGGTACAGGGATTCGGTTATTCACTGAAGTCACTTAGATTGATTTTCGGTTCTGGCATTTCTTGTCCATAATGACTGACACTGTGAATAATTTATCTTCTAAGTCAATCTGTCCACTTGCTAGAGTAACAATTATAGATCTAGCTATCGTTTATTAATAATTTCTTACTGTTCTGTGCTAACATGCTAATGTTTAAGAAAAGAAGAATAAATTTAACCCATCGGCGAGTTCATCGTTTAAAAAGATAGAAGAAACCTATGAAATAGTCTACGGCACAGGCTCAAGCAGTGGTTATTATGCTACAGACACTGTCTGCGTAAGGACGTATTGATCGGCTTCTATCGATATGCAACAACCTTTCATATTTATTTAGATTGCAGACATATGCGTAAGAGATCAGACATTTGGAGTGGCAGGATATCTATCGATGTTTCTCAGCAATAAAGAGTTTGATGGGATTCTAGGAATGGGATTCAGAACAATGAATAAAAACTACAGCCTCACTGTTACTGAAAACATGATTTACAATAACCTGTTCGCAATGCCAATCTTTACCGTGTGGATGACAAGGTTGTAACTGAAACAAAAATCTCATTTAGCACTGATGCAATCTTTTCAGCAACGAAAATGCAGAGCTCATCGGAGGAGAAATAGTTTTCGGAGAATACGATCATCAGCACTGTTCTACAGAGTGCCACACTGTCTACCTTGATGAAGCGCTGCATTGGCAGTACAAAGTTGAAAGGTAAAGCAATTCAAGAATTATAATTTAGAAACAGCCGATGAAGACTTCATCTTTATTGCTTAAATGCAATAACGCCTCATTAAACAAATCAGATTAAACAAAGTAAAATGACAAACAACAAAATTCCCATGTAAATTACCGCAAAATATGAGCATTCATCATATGGTCAAAACATGCTCCAATTATAGGGGCATAACGTTACTAAGCCTCCCAGGTAAAGTCTACGCAAAGGTGTTAGAAAGG